ATTACGTGGTTTCCTGCCTAGTTGAAGGGCTTAAAAAGGCAGTTGAAGGGCTTTACAAAGCTGTTAATTATGACAAACTTAAAGAAACTACCCAAGGTAAAGAACCCAGCCCAGTTCATGGCCCGCTTAGCAGCTTTACCTCCCTAGACCCAGAGGGGCCAGAAGGCTGCCTTATTCTTAATATGCATTTTATCACCCAATCAGCTCCTGACATTAGAAAAAGCTCCAAAAATTAAATTCTGGCCCTCAAACCCCACAACAGGACTTAATTAACCTCGCCTTCAAGGTGTACAATAGTAGAGAAGAGTTGCAATTACTTGCCTCTGCTGTGAGAGAAACCCCAGCCATATCTCCAGCACACAAAAACTTCAAAACACCTAAGCCACAGCGGTCAGGCGTTCCTTCAGGACCTCCTCCCCCAGGATCTTGCTTCAAGTGCTAGCAATCTGGCCACTGGGCCAAGGAATGTCTGCAGCCTGGGATTCCTCCTAAGCCGTGTCCCATCTGTGCGGGACCCCACTGGAAACTGGGCTGTCCAGCTGGCCCAAGGCTCTGACTGACTCCTTCTCAGATCTTCTCCGCTTAGCAGCTGAAGACTGACACTGCCCGATTGCCTCGGAAGCCTACAGGATCATCACAGATGCTTTCGGTACCTCTTACAGTGGAGGGTAAGTCTGTCCCCTTCTTAATTAATACGGAGGCTACCCACTCCACATTACCTTCTTTTCAAGGGCCTGTTTCCTTTGCCTCCATAACTGTTGTGGGTATTGACGGCCAGGCTTCTAAACCTCTTAAAACTCCCCCTTTCTGGTGCCAACTTGGACAACGTTCTTTTATTCAGTCCTTTCTAGTTATCCTCACCTGCCCAGTTCCCTTATTAGGTTGAGACATTTTAACTAAATTATCTGCTTCCCTGACTATTCCTGGGCTACAGCCACACCTCATTTGCCACCTTTTGCCCCAGTTCAAAGCCTCCTTCACATCCTCTCCTTGTATCTCCCCACCTTAATCCACAAGTATAGGACACCTCTACTCCCTCCTTGGTGACAAATGATGCACCCCTTACCATCCCATTAAAAGCTAATCACCCTTACCCTGTTCAACACCAATATCCCATCCCACAGCACACTTTAAAAGGATTAAAGCCTGTTATCACTTGCCTGTTACAGCATGGCCTTTTAAAGCCTATAAACTCTCCTTACAATTCCCCCATTTTACCTGTCCAAAAACCAGACAAGGCTTACAGGTTAGTTCAGGATCTGTACCTTATCAACCAAATTGTCTTACTTATCCACCCCATGGTGCCAAAGTCATATACTCTCCTATCCTCGATAGCTCCCTCCGCAACCCCTCCATAACCCATTATTCTGTTCTGGATCTCAAACATGCTTTCTTTACTATTCCTTGCACCCTTCATCCCAGCCTCTCTTCGCTTTCACTTAGACTGACTCTGACACCCATCAGGCTCAGCAAATTACCTGGGCTGTACTGCCGCAAGGCTTCACAGACAGCCCCCATAACTTCAGTCAAGCCCAAATTTCTTCCTCATCTGTTACCTATCTCAGCATAATTCTTTATGAAAACACACGTGCTCTCCCTGCTGATCATGAACGGCTAATCTCCCAAACCCAAACCCCTTCTACAAAACAACTCCTTTCCTTCCTAGGCATGGTTAGGTACTTCCGCCTTTGGATACCTAGTTTTGCAATCCTAACGAAACCATTATATAAACTCACAAAAGGAAACCTAGCTGACCCCATAGATCCTAAAGCCTTTCCCCACTCCTCTTTCTGTTCCTTGAAGACAGCTTTAGAGACTGTCCCCACACTAGCTCTCCCTGACTCATCCCAACCCTTTTCATGACACACAGCTGAAGTGCAGGGCTGTGCAGTCGGAATTCTTACACAAGGATCGGGACCGCGCCCTGTAGCCTTTTTGTCCAAATAACTTGACCTTACTGTTTTAGGCTGGCCGTCATGTCTCTGTGCAGTGGCTGCCGCCGCCCTAATAGTTTTAGAGGCCCTCAAAATCACAAACTATGCTCAACTCACTCTCTACAGCTCTCATAATTCCCAAAATCTATTTTCTTCCTCACACCTGACGCATATACTTTCTGCTCCCTGGCTCCTTCAGCTATACTCACTCTTTGTTGAGTCTCACATAATTACCATTGTTCCTGGCCCAGACTTCAATCCGGCCTCCCACATTATTCCGGATACCACACCTGACCCCCATGACTGTATCTCTCTGATCCACCTGACATTCACTCCATTTCCCCAAATGTCCTTCTTTCCTGTTCCTCACCCTGATCACACTTGGTTTATTGATGGCAGTTCCCCCAGGCCTAATCGCCACTCACCAGCAAAGGCAGGCTATGCTATAGTATCTTCTACATCTATCATTGAGGCTACTGCTCTGACCCCCTCCACTACCTCTCAGCAAGCCAAACTCATTGCCTTAATTTGGGCCCTCACTCTTGTAAAGGGACTACGAGTCAATATTTATACTGACCCCATATCCTGCACCACCATGCTGTTTTATGAGCTGAAAGGTTTCCTCACTACACAAGGGTCCTCCATCATTAATCCCTCTTTAATAAAAACTCTTCTCAAGGCCGCTTTACTTCCAAAGGAAGCTGGAGTCATTCACTGCAAGGGCCATCAAAAGGCATCAGATCCCGTCACTCAGGACAACACTTATGCTGATAAGGTAGCTAAAAAAGCAGCTAGCTTTCCAACTTCTGTCCCTCATAGCCAGTTTTTCTCCTCCTCATCTCGTCACTCCTACCTACTCCCCGACTGAAACTTCCACCTATCAATCTCTTCCCACACAAGGCAAATGGTTCTTAGACCAAGGAAAATATCTCCCTCCAGCCTCACAGGCCCATTCTATTCTATCGTCATTTCATAACCTCTTCCATGTAGGTTACAAGCTGCTAGCCCGCCTCTTAGACCCTCTCATTTCCTTTCCATTGTGGAAATCTATCCTTAAGGAAATCACTTCTCAGTGTTCCATCTGCTATTCTACTACTCCTCAGGGATTGTTCAGGCCCCCACCCTTCCCTACATATCAAGCTCGGGGACTTGACCCTGCCCAGGACTGGCAAATTGACTTTACTCACATGCCATTTTAGTCAGGAAACTAAAATACCTCTTGGTCTAGGTAGACACTTTCACTGGATGGGTAGAGCCCTTTCCCACAGGGTCTGAGAAGTCCATCATGGTCATTTCTTCCCTTCTGTCAGACATAATTCCTCAGTTTGGCCTTCCCACCTCTATACAGTCCAATAATGGACCGGCCTTTACTAGCCAAATCACCTAAGCAGTTTCTCAGGCTCTTGGTATTCAGTGGCTCCTGGTTTTACCTCAAACTTCCACCCTTAAGTCTCTCTTTAAGTGGATAGAAGATCTTCAGTACACTCCAATACTTTCACCCTGATGAAGTCCTATTCTTTACTTTTATACTTACTCTTATTCTCGTTCCCATTCTTATGCTAACCTCTACCTCTCCCCAGCTATCTCCACCACACTATCAATCTCACTCTCTCCTAGCCGTCTCTAATCCTTCTTTAACAAACAATCGCTAGCTTTGCATTTCTCTTTTCTCCAAATTCGAGGAGGCCCGGACTTACTCATTGCTAAAAAGAAAGCCAGGGGGACTCTGTATATTTTTAAATGAAGAATGTTGTTTTTACCTAAATCAATCTGACCTGGTATATGACAACATAAAAAAACTCAAGGATAGAGCCCAAAAACTCGCCAACCAAGCAAACAATGGCGTTGAACCCCTTGGACACTCTCTAATTGGACATCCTGGGCCCTCCCAATTCTTAGTCCTTTAATACCTGTTTTTCTCCTTTTATTCGGACCTTGTATCTTTTAGTTTCTCAATTCATACAAAACCGCATCCAGGACATCACCAATAATTCTATATGACAAATGCTCCTTCTAACAACCCCACAATATCACCCCTTACCCCAAAATCTTTCTTCAGTTGAATCTCTCCCACTGTAGGTTCCCATGCTGCCCCTAATCCTGCTCGAAGCAGCCCTGAGAAACATCGCCCATTATCTCTCCATACCACCCCCAAAAATTTTCGCTGCCACAACACTTTACCACTATTTTGTTTTATTGGGGTGCCTATAATTCCAGCAACCAGGGAGGCTGAGGCAGGAGAATCACTTCAACCCAGGAGGTGGAGGTTGCAATTAGCTGAGATTGCACCATCGCACTCCAGTCTAGGCAACAAGAGCGAAACTCCATCTAATAATAATAATAATAATAATAATAATGGGACTTGGGGGTTTGTGAGAAGGGGATAAAGAGAAGAAGGGGATTATGGAAGGGTGGATGAACTGTCTCCTAGAAATAGATGGTAGTGAAGGCTTCTGACCACCCCCAACTAGGAAGAGCATCCCTGGAGCTGAGAAGAGAGACAGAGAGGTCTAAGGAATCTTGAAGAGAGTGGGGGGGCGGGGACTATGTAATGACCACCTTCCATATAAAGGGGACCTTGAAGGATATCCCAGGAGGCCAGGGGATCAGGGAAAATGGACATTTCAAAAGTAGCCTAGATGGATGCTGACTGGTGACTAGAGGGCCCTCATATCCCATCCTCCCCCGAGTACTTTGGCTAAAATTTTACTTGCGGACACATCCCTGGGAGAATTGGGGACGACACCCTCCAAAAACGACTTTCATGAAATTTTCCATCAACTCAGCAGAATGAGGCTCAGAGTCAAAACCTTAGTTGAGTTGCAGAAAACCAAGACAGTTTGTGCACACTTGAGTTTGGGGACTAAGGTTTTCACCAGTGCTCCCATCCAGAAAAGGGTGAGAATCGGTGAATTCTACCACATCCCTCTGCAGAGCCTAAGGGCCTCTCTCCTGCCTCAGCTAGCCTGGGGTGACATGTGGAGGAGGCACACATGGAAGGCATGGACCCAGGCAGAGTTCCCCAGATTGGAACAAGGACATGGAGAGGGTCTTGGTCTGACTTACCCCACAGGAGGGTTGCTCCAGCCCAGAGTATCCACCAGCTCCACAGGGCACCCATGGCTGCAGTAGGAAAAGAGAAGGGATCATAGAAGGCTGAGTCACTGCCTCTGTTGGAGACTGTCCTCGGCAGAAGGGCCCACTCTCATGACAAGGGCCACCTGAGACCATGAAGGCTGAGGTGGGGAAAGAAGTCAGGCAGATTGGACCGGGGGTATGGATCCAAAGACCAGTGTGTGTATAGGGGAGGCTGGCTGTCCAGTGGGTCTGGAGGTCGGGTGAGGAGGACAGTAGCCAGGGACGGGGTGGGGAGTTGGCTGTCTTGTGGGTCTAGGGGTAGGATGAGGAGGCCTAAAGCCAGGAGCAAGAGTAGGGGACCTGCTGTTCCACTTCCAAAGGGGACCCCAGCCCTTCTCACCTGCAGGTCCCTGGAGCTGCAGGGCCAGCCTTGTGGCAGGGCTATATAGTGGAGTTTCTGGTCCCCTCAGGCCACACCCTGGGCCACGTGCCAGGCAGATGATGCCAACTTCCTGAAGGAGGCTGCCATCCTTAGGGCCAGATGAAATGGGAAACCGTGAAGGCCTGGGAAGGAGGGATGGTGATTCTGGATGCCTGGGTTCCAAGAAGGAAGTGAGGACGGCTCCTGGCCACTCCCTGGACGCCTTCTGGAAAGTTTGGTCCTGGAAGGGTGGGGTCTCTGAGGGAGACAGCTGGGGAGCAGGAAGCTGAGCACCTGGGTCCCTGGGTGGAGGTAGGGTGGGGTGGGGGTGTGGGCAGCGAGGGGGGAGGTGGCATGTAATCATATCTGCTGGTTTAGTGGCTAGATTCCTTCCTTTGGCTCCTGCCAGGAACAACAATGAGGGACCCATATCCGGGTCCTGGTTCCTCCTCAGTCCCCACAGGCTGGGGAGTCCCTAGCCACCCACATCCTGCTTCCAGACACCACTAGGGGCAGGTGTCTGGGATGGGCAGGAGTCTGAGGTTATGGAGTGGGACACAAGACCTCCACCGCAGCCCAGTGGGGCCTTTGCGGTTTCTCATCTGCAAAACGGGAACACCAAAACCAGCCTTTCTGGGCATCTTTATGTCCCAGAGATGTAAAGAAATTTTCAAAGACTGTAGAGCTGGGGGGCAGCCTCTTCTGGTGCGGGCGCAGGCCAGCATGCAGGTGGGCACTGGGGCTGAGGCGATATGTGAAGAAGGGACAAGGGCCTCTGTTTCCCGGTTCCACACAGACACCTAGATTCCACTTCTGATTACAGACACCTGCCCCTGGAAATAGGATATAGGTGGCCAGGGACTCCCTAGCCTGTGGGGACCAAGGAAGAGCCAGGACCTGTTGGTCTGGGGGGGTATCTTTGTGTGTAGGGAGGGTTTGCTCTTAGCAGGGGCTAGCTGAACAGGTTTAGGGGACTCTGTGCCGCTCCATCACCCCAGAATTTGCCTGAGATGGGAGGTGGAGGTCTAGGTTGCACACAAGGACCAGAAGAATGAGGTGAAAGTTGGGCTTTCTCATTTGGAGTCAGCTCCTCTGAGGAGCTGGCCTGACCCATGCCCTGCCTGCCTTCTCCCTGACCCAGGATCTCATTGTTTGCTAGGGGAGTCTCCCCTGGGACCAACAGCTGCAAAGCCTGGGTGCCCTCTTGGACCAACACCCTAGCAGCTGCTTCCTCTGGGGCTCCTCCTCTCTTATCACAGGATCCTGGGCCTCTGTGAGGCCAGAGTGGGTGTGGGGGCTTCTCTCTCCCTGGAGCTCCAACTAATCCCCAGGCCCACCCAAGGCACATTCCTGGAGGGAAAGATAAAAGCTCAGAGTTGACTGGGACATACAGTCAACCAGGAAAATGAAGTGAGTAAATAGGAGACTAAAAGCCAGAGATAACAAGAAACAAGCAGGGGCAGGGGACCCACAGGAAATGGAAGCTTTGGGAAAAGGATGCCGGGGTCCCTGAGGGGTCTAAAAGTTGGTGGAAGGGGCTGTTGGGTCCCTGAAAGAGATAAGGACTGGGAGAAGGAGACGTCAGGATTCCTAGGAGGAAACAGCAATTGCAAACCAAGATGTGAAAATTCTCTGTGTGAGGTCAGGCAGAGTGGCTCAGCTTGTAATTCCAGCACTTTGGGAGGCCAAGGCAGGAGGATTGCTTAAGGCCACAAGTTTGAGACCAGCCTGGTTCAAGACCAACATAGTGAGACCCTGTATCTACAAAAAATACAAAAATTAGCCAGGCAGATGGTGCACACTTGTAGTCCCAGCTACTTGGGAGGCTGAGGCAGGAGGATCACTTGAGGCCACAAGGTCAAGACCAGCCTGGGCAACATCGTGAGACCCTTTCTCTATAAAAAATACAAAAATAAACTGAGTGTGGTGGCGTGCACCTGTAGTCTCCACCATTCAGGAGGCTAAGGTGGGAGGATTGCTTGATCCTAGGAGTCTGAGGCTGCAGCGAGCCGTGATCATGCCACTGCACTCTGACCTGGGGAGAAAAAGAAAAAAGAAAATAATATTCTCTGTATGCGATACCTGTCTTGTAGTTTGAGGCACTCAGAGACAAATGGGAGGTGAAGGGAAAGAATCAGGGTGAGTTTCATGCGTGTTTCTGGTTCTCAATTCTCTTTAAGCCTTGGGGGTTCCCCTGGTTGATCACAGAAAGAAGCTTCCTGCCTTCAAAATTCATCATCGCTCTCCACAGCCAGAGTCCCCAGAAATGGGGTGGTTGTGGTGGGAGATCTCACAAATTAATACTCTGTGACAATCCCCTTTGGTCTTCTTTCTCACTCCTATTAAGGCCCAAGTGGTGTGTGTGTGTGTGTGCGTGTGTGTGTGTACACAGCCCTGTGCCTTACCCTGTATTATATCAATTCTCAGGAAACCCTTTGGTGACCCAGGAAATTAACTCTTAGGACACTTCCTTATGGTCAGAGAAACCGCATCCATCTCTCCACTGGCAGCCTTGTTCTGAGCCCAAGCAAGGGTATTTGTGTATCTGAGTCTTTCGGCCTCTCTCTGCTTATCTGCCTCTGTCTCCCTGCAACATGTGCACTGGCTACACCATCCCAGACCCCTGGGCCCCTCTGACTAGTCTCCCTGCAACATGTGCACTGGCTACACCATCCCAGACCCCTGGGCCCCTCTGACTAGTCTTGGCTTTACAGACCTGAGCACAGTGGGAGAGAATGTACTCTCTCCAGCTAAATGCAGCCTTGTGGGCAATTTCTAACTTAATTCCTTTATGCTCTGGATCCCACAATCTGACTTCCATAGGCACTGAATGTTTTTCTAAACTCTCCAATGACCCATTATTTGCCACTTGCCTCTAGTTCCTTCCCTGTAACATTTGACATTCACACTTCCTCTCTGCCTATAATAATTGAAATTCTATAGGAGATGTTCTCTGATCATAATGGAATCAGCTTGAAATTAATAACAGAAAAACAGGGAAATCTTCACTCACAAGGATATTGAGCAACTCACTTCTAAATAATCCATGGGCCAAACAGGAAGTATCAAAAATACATATAATTAAATGAAAATGAAAAGAAGATATTTCAAAATATGTGGGATATAGCTAAAGGGAAATGTATGGCATTAAATATTTACATTAGGAAAGAGGAAAGTTCTCAAACCAATAATCTAAGCTCTTACACAAGAAAGTAGTAAAAGACCAAAATAAACACAAAGCAGAAGAAAGGAAATAATAAAGAACAGAGATTAATAAAACTGAACATGAGAAAATCAATGAAACAAAAGAACTACTTTGTCGTTGTTGTTGTTGTTGTTGTTGTTAACAAGGGCGAGGCTTTGAATTTCCCAAATGTATTTGTGGATTTGTCTATTGTTGAATAGAGCATTCTATAAATATCAATTAGATCCTGTTGATTGATGCTGTTATTCAGTTCTTTGATATTCTCACATATTTTATCCCTGGTAGTTCTATCAATTTGGTGAGAGTGAGGTTTTTAATTCCCCAACTATATTTGTGGACTTGTCTATTTCACCTTTCAGCTCTATCGGTTTTTGCTTCATGTACTTGAATCTCTGTTGTTTGGTACATATACCTTAGGATTGCAATGTCTTGGAAGAATGATCCTTTGTTTTTAGCAATGTTTTTTGCACTGAAGGAAAATATTTTCATATTAATATAGTACTTCCTTCCTTTTAAAAATTTGTATTTAAAAAATATGTGTGTGTGTGTATATATATATATATATATATATTAGACAGAGTCTCACTCTGTTGCCCAAGATGGAGTGCAAGGGCATGGGCTCAGCTCACTGCAGTCTCTGCCTCCCAGGTTCACACAGTTCTCCTGCTTCAGCCTCCCAAGTAGCGGCGATTACAGGCACCCATGACCACGCCTGGCTAATTTTCGTATTTTTAGTAGAGACAGGGTTTCACCATGTTGGCCACGCTGGTCTTGAACTCCTGACCTCAAGTGATCTACCCGCCTTGGCCTCCCAAAGTGCTGGGATTATAGGGATGAGCCACCATGCCCAGCCTAAAATTTATAATAATATAAATTAATAAAATTAATATTTTTTCTATTATTTTATTTTCAACCTATCTATGTTGTTATATTTGGAGTAAAGCTTTTTGGAGACAGTATCTACTTGGGTCATTTTTTAAAATTCACTCTACCTATCTCTGGTCTTTTATTTCATGTAAGTAGACAGACTATTTACATTTAAAGTAGTTATTGATATGTTTAGACTTAAGTTTATCATTTTATTATTCATCTTCCATTTGCTCCGTTTCTCATTCTTATTTTTTCTTGCATTCCTTTGAGTTATATGAGCAATTTTTAGCATTCCATTTTGATTTATTTTTGAATACATAATTTGTAGAATTTTCTTAGCACTTGCTCTAGTACTACAATATACATATGCAACTGATTATAATCCAACTTATTGATATTTTACCACTTTGATTGAAGTGTTGAAACTTTACATCCATATACATCCTTTTACCCTCCCACCTATACATGTGTGTATATTCAAATATAATAACTATTTTAGGTATTGTCTCTTCCTATAGACATCAGATGATACTGTAATTTTTTCTTC